TTTATTTATTTATTTATTTATTTATTTTGGTACTAGAGATTGAATCCAGAGGCCATAGAGCTATATCTCTAGCCACTGCCCCTTCTCCATTTCTATAAAATTTTTTATAGACAGGATCTCAGGAAATTGTATAGCTGGCCTTGAACTTGGAATCCTCCTGACTCAGCCTCTGTAGTAGCTGAGATTATAGCTGTGCACCACTACATCAGCTCAGAGAGTATCTTACACATGAATTTACATTATTAATATAAATTATTTGAATATACCCATAAGAACATTAAAATGTTTAAATTTTTTTGTTTTAAATATTTGAGACCAAGGGCTGGGGATTAGCTCAGTGGTTCCACCGCCTGCCTCGCAAGTATAAGGACCGGAGTTTGATCCCTGGTACCAAAAAAAAAAAAAAAAAAAATTGAGACCAATTTCCTAGGGACCAAAGTTCATTCATTTAATAAGTATTTGCTAGGTGCTCACTTTGTGGTGGTACATGCAGCAGATGTCATTTTCCCAAGATAACTGTATTAATATATATCACTGTACATGCTATTTTACACTGAGTTATGGTTTAGATCGAAAACTTCCCCCCAAATCTCACATGTTCAGAGATGTGGTTTTGGAAGGTGAGGGGACCACAGGGGCACTGTACTCATCAGTGAATTAAGCCACTGATAGTTGCAGGCGGAATGCGTTTTTAGGAGGTGGGGCCTGGCTGGAGGTGAGTCCTTGTGGGTGGGACCTGGAAGAGTATATTCTTGTCCTTGGCTCCACCCTTCCCCCTCTGCTTCCGGGCTGCCGTTAAGTACCTTCACTCTGCCATGCCCTTGTGCTATGATGTTCCTGTCTTAGAGCGTGGCAACCACAGATTGAACCCTCTGAACCGTGAGCTAAGTTAAACCTCTCCTCCTTTCAATTGTGGGTGTTGGGAATTGTGTCTCAGCAACGGCAAAGCCTAATAGATTATGACAATATAATGCTCTGTTCAGTGGTAGGATTCCTCCTTCAACCAACAGAATGGGGCAGAAGTGATGGTGTGTTATGACTTCTAAAGCTAAATCATAGAAGACAACATGGTTTCTGCCTAGAGGTCCACTCCCCCATCCATGTTGGATCTGGAGCCTGGCTACCCTATTGTGAGGGATCCCAGGCCACGAGGAGAGGCCATGTGTAAGTGTTGTGGCCTGTAGCTCCACGCCAGCACCGCCTGGTGAGCACATGTATGAAGACTTCAGCTAATTCCATCCCTCAGCTTTGAGCCTTTCCGCTGAGGACTGAGGCATGGTAGAGCAGACAGACAAGCCACAGTGTAACGTGTCTGAATTCCTGACATATAGAAACGGAGAACAATAACTATTATTGTGATAAGCCACTAAATTTTGTGGTAATTTATTATGCAGCGAGAGAGCTTACACACAGGGTTGGCTGCTAGGACTACAATAGTAAGACAGATGTCCTGACCTCCTGGAACTTGTAATTTAATGAAGAAGATGGAAGAACTGAATATATAAGTTGGGCCATGGTGAATGTTTGAAGAATAAATAGGCTACCTTTTAAATATCTGGCAGGGAAATCCGAGCGGTTGTCAGTTGAAAATAATCTAACCTCTTATTGTGAAATGGTCACTATCTTCCATGATTCCTTTTTCCTAGCCCAGCACCTGGCCATGGTGGTTGCTCAGAAATATTGCATAACCTACTGTGTGGTTTGTTAAAATTAGTTTCCACGTGCCAGTCTTCTTTCTTGTGTCCTGTATGTTCTATTAAGAAACAGGTCAAGAAATCCTAGAAACTGTCACTCAGGCTTCAAACCAAATGGAAAATTAGCAGTTCATTAATTACTGTTTCTCTGTGCGTTACTGTTTTCACTGTGCCGATGTGTATTCATAGCCTGCATCCAGACAATGGGAGAGAGCTCTGGTTTAATGTTATCTGGCCTAAAAAGAGGGAAAGATATTAAGCTTTTCTTCCTAAAAATACTCAGTAAAGAGTCATTGATAGATATTTTGTGCAGATGTATATATGATGAGCCACATAGTTTCTCTCCTCCTGCAGAGGCCCCTAAGGTCCTTTCTATGTTAGCAATGGGGAACCTGTGACTGTCCATTGATGCTGTGACCAAATGTCACAATATGTGCCCAGATATCAGAAGGCAGCAAACATTTCAGGGGTGTATACTCAGTAGGGCTATTCTAACAGCTTCCAGATAAAACATAAGAAGCTCAGTTAAACCCGAATTTCAGAAAACAACAAATAATTTTGCAATATTTAAGTATGTCTAGTAAATTATTCATTGACATCTGAAATTCAAATTTCACTGGGCATCTTGCACATTTATTTGCTGCTCTTGGCAACTCTAATACTAAGTAGACTACAGAATACAGAATAATTAGAAAGGAAAATAAAATACCAACAATGTGAGGGCAAGGAAGGGGCTAAAACTGAGGTTTGGTAAGTGCCACAGTATGGAGGTGGCCCAGTGAATTCTTCATCTCCAGCCCTAGGATTTACTAATTTCCTTCTCTCTATACCCCAGTAAACTGAAAAAAATCTGTTTTCAACTGTGTCTAAGAATTCTCTTGTGACCAAGTTGATGTGGTTAATCCTGCCTCTCTGCTTTATCCATTGTGTGAAAGTCTTCTGGCTGCTCACACAATGGGCAAAGCAATTCAGCCTTACCTCACTTTCATTGCAGCAGAACACATCTGAGAGGGTATAGAACTGGGGATCCAGGCCAGCAATGGCAGGAGCTGGATTGAACAATGTTTTCACTACAAAAGAAAGGGGTTCAACGGTTACCAAGTTTAACATGGTGCATTTACAGACATTTAGAGAACAAATCCCCAAGTGGTTGTTTTTACTACCATTTCTTCTTTTTTTCTGTTTCCTTGATTTTTCAATGTGCGGCTTTGAAGGTAAGCATCAATATTCACAACCAAGGTGATTCCAGAGTTAAGTCCGGGGCAAGAAGGACATTAAAGTAAAAATGTTGTGGCGTGGAAGGACGTGTATGAATGTGAACAGGCTAGTCAACATTTCTGTGGGTTGCTTTAAGATCAGTTCACAAATCCATTGGCCAGGGAGAACAAAGAGATGACAGAAAAGAAACAACAAAGAGTTCAACATTTCCCTGGTGACGTTAGTAGGCAGGGATTCAGGTACATGTGTGTGTCTTGTGCTCCCACGTCTCCCAGCTACATCACAGCCATGCATGCCAACACGCATGCATACAAAAGCTTACATTCTTGGGCAATCGGGAAACAAACAAACAAACAAACCAGAAGAAAAGTCTGGGCAGTGAGAGGCCGAGTACCAGCTCTGACTATGAGGCTCCAAGAGAAGGATGAACAGGGATAGAAGGAACAGGGGAAGGAGAATGTGACAGCCGCTACATGTCAGAGAAGTAAATTTTTCAGAGGAGAAAAATGAGGCTCAGAAAGATGAAGCCATATTTTTTTTTATGAAGCCATACTTTGAAGGTCCTTCCTGGGGATGTGGTTAGGCTGAACCCCTTCCCCAGGGTCCTCTGGCTTTAAGTTCAGGGTCTGACCTTCTCTGAAAACAGCAGAACTCTTCTCTATGCCAGGACTCTGTCAACAGCGACCCATGCTCTCCATCCTGAAATTCACAGCGTCTTTTAAAACAACTGGCGCCAAACTCTGTGAGTTTGCAGATCTCAGCAATTACATTTGCAGGAAACTCATTCTTTGTCACAACACTTATTTTGCATTGCCCACCTAGACTGGCTAGTGTCTTTATCAGTTGGGGTCCACTGACCTCCGTGTTGTGGAATTGAACCTGACTACAGAGCCAGAGTAAAATCCTCAGCCGTGCTCCCAGAGACTCTTCTAGAACAGTGGTTCACAAACCTAGTCACACCTCAGCACCACTAGGAGAATGTGTTCAAACGCGGGATTTCCAGACTTCGCCTCAACTCACTGAAGCAGAATCTCTGAGGGGTCAGTCAGTGAGGCTGCAGGGAGCAGGGAGGCTGCACGCTCACAAGCTCTCCAGGCGGCGCTCACACAGGCAGCTTGGTAGCGATCCACTCCACATGCCCGGGGAGAAGCTCATCGGAGCGCGCTGATGGACACAGCCCTCTGCTGCAGCCTATTCCCGCGCCTTCCCAGGTCCTCCTTAACGTTTCGGTTCTGTCAGTGGCCTTGGCCAGCATGGCTAACACTAGTTCCACGTGATTATCATTTTAGAATCCACAGTGTCCACCCACAGATATCCTATGGTATATTTTTGGTTGCTCAGATTTCTGTACAGGACTCTTGTGTAGCTTAAATTAGAAAATGGACGTAAAAGCGCTGTGTAAACTGTAAAGTGTTGTATAAAAGGAGAGGATTATTACTGTTATTATATTGTCCTTTACACCCCCACCTGTCCACCCATCTCTTTTGCCTTTTGCTGGTGTAGCCCAGCGACAGTCTCTCCCTGGTTCTCCCACTTCCGCGAGGCCTCAGTGATGCCGGTTATGCAGAAAAGTCCCCATTGCCCGGCATTCTACTCCCTCACTTCTGTGGTTTTCTGAACAATGCATTGTTTCCTATTTTCCGCCTGCATTAAATCTAAACACTCTTGCTCAGCCAGTGTGATCGAGTGTGCACTCGTCATGTCAGAGCACTGCTTAGAACCACTACCAATACAGAGAGGAGGGGACAGCCATTCTCAGAGAAGTTCCTTTTGTTTTCTCTTCTAAACCTGAAGTACAGAAATCCACAGGCTTGCAAAACTGACATATAATGATGTTCACACGACTGTTTGTAATAGAATAAATATCTACACATCTATCAAAGTGGTTAAAAGAGTTATGACATTCCCCTGATATAATCTTCTGCAGTTGCTAAAAAGGATGAGGTAGCTCTCTGCTTTGTCAGAGGAAGATTTCTATAATTTATTATAAGTAAAAAAGGCAGCTGTAAAAGGTGATGGGAGGAAACCTGGTTATAAATTAAGTGTTGTAGATCATGCAAAGACATCATTGTTTAAACACACATAGTCTCTTCCACTACAACCTGGCCCACACTTACAAACTCAGCTCTCAGGAGGCTGAGGCAGGAGTACTGCCTGTTCGAGGCCAGCTGGGTCTACATAGCAAGACCCCATCTCAACAAACTAACAAAACCCAAAACAGGCACACGAAGGATGAAACAATGTTACGGCCAGGTTTTGCCGTGGAGGGTGGGTAGTAATGAGCTAGGTGCAGAAGAAACAACACTGGCCATGGCTTGGTAACTGTTGCAACTAAATGACTGTGTATATGGGCTTACTGTGCTAGTCTGTGTGTCCTTGTATACTTGAAATTTTCCATAATAACATTTTACCACAAATATTTTATGAAATCAATGAAATCTTATCTGCCTGTATTTTACCAATGGACGGTTTTCTTACCAATGATAATGGAATAGAGTCTGATACCTAAGTTTAGATGAACAAAATTAAGGGGGAAAGTAAAATGTCGTAGAGGAGGCTCATCTTGGCTCGTGCTACCACTACTAAGCGGAAATCCTTCCCCAGGAGGAAGTGTGAAGAATTAGTAGATGGAGTCAGAGCTAAGAACAAATTTGTAATTGACAGGATGGTAAAGATGATGCCACCCTGCGACCAGGCAAAAGGACAGAATGCCCGATGCTTTCTGGTGTGACTTGGAGCTGCAGAGGTGACTGGCAGCACCCACCAGTAATTATTATTCATTACAGCCCAAGATGGACTAAACTCCTGGTTATCTTTGCTGCACGTCAGTGGCTGACACAGTAATGTCAGTGAAGAACTAGCGAGGCCTGGGCAGCAGCTGGATGGGCTAAAATACAGGGAAATGAAGCGGAAATTTTTAATGTGCCGCCATGGAGGACAGGCATTGGGAGTTAAAAAAGGATCTAAGAACTAGCTCAGAAAAACAGGAAAAGAGATCACCCTGAGCTAAGCAGATGTGAGCAGCCTGGGTACCCACTACGCTGGCTTGGCTGACTCTTCCCCTGGAGGTTCTTTTCTGGAACTTGAGCAGCAAAATGTGTCCAAGCTTGGCTCATGAGCTGGATAATGTTACTGTCAAATGCGAGGTGGCCGGCCAAGTGGAAAAGAACTACAGTGGCATTAAAAGACACTTTGCATCGTACCTATGATTTAATCTGGGCGATCTTACAATGTCAATTATTTATGATTGTTCCTGTAATGTTTCACTTGCTTTGAAATGGATATGAAGACCAGAACCAACACCAGCAGCCCAGTAGCAGCTCCACAGTGGGACTCCCCCACTGGACCGTGATCCAGCAATGATGGGGCCACCCAGGGATACCAAATTCCTTTAATGTTGTAAATGCTATTTCTAAAACCAATGTTTTTTTGGGGGGGTCACAAAAAAACCCAATGTTTTAATCTTGGTCAAGACAGGGAGAAAGATCTGAGATGGTATATTCAAAGATATGGGGACCTCTGCCTCTGTATTTTAATAATTAACATATAATATAGTTATACAATGTGTACAGTTCAAATATTGCTACTTGTTAACAGATAGCAGAGCTGTGACAATAAACTCTGACAATAATGGTGACTTTGCCGTCTTTCTTGAGGATGGGCTAATCCTGATCAGCATGCGTCACCTCAAGGGACAACGGGCAGACATGTGGTACTCCACAGATCGTAGCTTTGCCTGCCACGCTGTGACCAGCCTGCAGCGACATCAACAAGCTAGGAGAGCTCCAGCCCTATTCTCATTTCACAGAAGAAACGGAGGGCCAGAGCAAGGAATGGACCTCCCTGACTGCAGTTCCTCATTTGCTAAGTGAGTGGATCTGGATTTGAGACCGTTCTTCATGATTTCAAAACCACTACTCTCCTTTCATTAAACTGCTCCCCTCTCATCTGGGAATGAAGATGCAGCGCGTGCGCGCGCGCACACACACACACACAGAGGTGCGTCAAGTGTGCTTGTGGAGGCGCTGTGTGGATACTGCAGCAGAGTGTGTGGGGAAACACTGCTGAAAATACTCTAGGGCTTCTTCTGTTTCTTCTTCCTTTCCATTCCCTTTCTGATTTTTTAAGACACTATGTAGTCCAGACTGGCCTTGAACTTCAAATCCCCCTGCCTCAGACTCCCAAGTGCTGGGATTACAGGCGTGTGCCATTATGTCTGGTGTCTTCTCTGTTTCTTAGGCAGCAAAAAAAATGCTCAAAGTTTAGGTGATAAAACTTTGGACAGCTAAAAGGTATGAGTTTTGCTTTTCCAGAGATACTCTTCACAAAGTCTCACTTCCTTGGAATTAATGGCATGTGGAACTTTGTTTTTAAAGTGTGGTCTGGGAGACAGAACTTGGGTCTTTGAGTCTACAAATGCTTTCCACGTTTATTAGTGTGATGTTGGTTGAGCAAATTATTTAACCTGAGTCTGCCTCTTTATCTTCAGTTTGAAAGAATAATGCCTGCCATATCCTTGTCATAAGGTATTTCTGAGGATCAAATGTATAAGGAGGAACTGTATAAGCTAGAAGGACATACAAATGTGAGGTATTGGGCTGGGGATTTAGCTCAGTGGTTCTGCCACCTTCCTTGTAAGCGCAAGGTCCTGAGTTCCATCCCTGGTACCAAAAACAACAACAACAACAACAAAAAACCCAAATGCGAGGTATTAATACTTTTGCTGGCATTCAGCAGCCCCTCCCCAACGTATGGCTTTGTTTCCCAGAGTTTCAGCTACCTTTTGTCAACCAGGTTCTGAAAATATGAAGGAAAATTCTAGAAATAACAGTTCATAAATTTTAAGTTGTATACCGTTTCAAGTCATGTGAGGAAATCTCACACCACCCTGCTCCGTCCCAACCAGGACATGGCGCTTCCTCTGTCCAGACCACCCACCCTGAGAGCCATCCTGGTCATCAGACCAACCGCTGTGGTATTAACGATGCTGGCGCTCCAGTAACCTTTATCTTACCTAGTAATGACCCCAAAGTGCAATAGTAGATGCTGGCCATTCAGATATGCCAAAGAGAAGCCAGAGAGTGTTTCTTTTAGGTGAAAAGGCAGAAGTTCTTGACTTAGATAAGAAAACATATGGTGAGGTTGCTAAGATCTACAGTAAGAGTGAGTCCCCCACCCCTTTGGCACTGGGGATGGAACCCGGGTGCTCTCCACTGAGCTGCACCCTCAACCCTTTTAGTTTTGTTTTGTCTTGAAACAGGGTCTCAGTTAAGTTGTCCCAGCCTGACCTCAAGCTTAATCTTCCTACGTCAGCAGTAGCTGAGATTATAGGATAGGACTGCACCATTGTGCCTGGAAAGAACTTATCTTCTATCCCTAAAACTGTGAAGAAAAAAAGAGAAGCCAGTACTAGTTTTGCTGTTGTACTTCAAACTGCACAAGTTATGACACTGTATATGATAAATGCTTAGTTAGGATGCATTAGATTAGAGTTAGGTATTATCCAAAGTTTCAGACATCTCCTGGGAGTCGGAAATATATCTCCCCACCCCAGATAGGAGGGAACTACTGGGTAGGGAGATCACACAGAATGAATACTTAGGCAGCCCGTTTTGTAGAGGAAATGTCAAGGATGCTAGGGAGTCTGTGGCCCCCCATCGTCTATTCCTCTTCTTGTGCTGCAGGACTTCCAGCTCCTAAAATGCAAGAGCTGCCTGGCAGCTGACAGAGGAAGCACTTCTGGACCCCACCCAAATGATGGCTGGGCCCCAGCCAGATGCCGGCTTGGTCAGGATTTCTCTCGCCTCACCTGTGAAAGGCTGGCTCCTCAGCTGTGGTGGACGTACTTTCCTCTCTTCCACAAGCTGGACAAGTAACAGGCAACTAGACTAGGACAGGGCAAAAAGTGACTTCTGAGAAGCAAAGGATAGTGGGAAAGAAAGAAAAGTTGTCTAAGAAAATGCTGCTTTCATCTATACAGAGAGGCAGGAGCCAGAGCGAAGTGGGAAGTGGCGCATTGTATTCACACCCCCGGCTGGATGAGCGCAAGTGGAGAGAATGCTTACCATAAGCATTGGACTTTATCCGTGACACTTCGAGAAAATGTAACCAAATGGGTTTTGGCTTAGAATTCTTTCTGACAGCTTCGAGTCCATTAAAAATACAGTAAATGTCAGTGAGAATTTGCCACAGCATATTTTGCCAAGAGGAAAATTTGTTAAATCAGGACACACACTTTAAAATTCTCCACAAAATCACTCCAGTGACTTATTTTCCAATGACTGCTATATAGAACACTATACACCTTGTGAAAATCACTTATGTAAACACACACACACACACACACACACCCTACACACACACTCTATTCTTCTACTATTTTAAAAAAATTTTGTATACTACTGAGAAAGTTTTATCTTGAAAAGTCAATGTGGTTTCCTCTGTATTTTATTAGAAATCACAGAACTAAACAAACAAACAAACAAACAAAACAACCACAACAACAAAGAAATCACAGAACTATTGCTAGACTATCAAGCACAAGCCATTGTGTTAGAGTGGCCACTTTTTATTTTGGGTTTCTTTGATCATATGGTGCTAGGATCAAGATATTATCCTAATTTTAATTTAAAGAGAAAAGTGGACAGCAAACAAGAAAAATGCAATTTACTGGCATGTACTACAACATGCTTGACATCATATTTTCTTTCATTCCATCCTTAGAACAATTTTTAGGGCATATTTCTATAGTGAGGATCAGAAAAAGCAGCTAATTCTAAGACCACAAAGCCAACAAGGGACAGAAATGGAATTTTAATCCAGGGGATGCTTCCTCTACTAGACAAAGGAGACAAAGAGGAAAACAAACAAACAGAAAACAAAAAACAAACCCAAACCTACCTTTACAAATATTTGTTTATCTGAGCCAAGTATGGTGGCACATGCCTGTAATCCCAACTACTTGGGAGGCTGAAGCAGGAGTATGGAAATTTTGAGGCCAGGCTGGGTAATTAACAAGATGGTGTCTCAAAATGAAACAAGGGCTGGGGATATTGCTCATTGCAGGGCCCTGGGTTCAGTCCCTAGAGCCAAACAATAGCCACAAGAAGGGCAGAATGGGTGCGAGAGCAGACGAATCAAGATTAGCCTTGGGTTGATAACATTTAGGAGTTGGGTTTAATCATACAGCTCTGCCTGTTTTGGTAGGTTTGTAAGTTTTTGAAATCAAAAGTCAAATGAAAGAGCTGCTTAATATATATCAGTGATACAGAAAGTAATACATGTGATCTTCTGTTACTTATTGAAATGATAAGTTCTATAAAAAGAAAGAGAGAATGAATTGTTGACTCCTAGAGATGTTATCAACACATACCTGGGCAGTGATCGGACATACACAGTTTAACCTTTGCTTCTCAGAATGGAAAACATCTCACTACCTAGCATGGATCTTGGATGATGGGCTGCTGAAGACTCTACTTACCCCTCCTATTATTTCTGCTAGCTGGACTGCAGATTTATATTGAGGGATATCAGATATTCTACTCATGTTATTTTTACTCCATTTGTAAGTTTTTCTAACATTATCAAGAACTACAAGACAGTGAATCTCACAGATGGAGCAAAGAATATTTTACCACAAAAAAAGCATTGCTTTGCTTAACTTAAAAGGTTAACTTTAATTAAGACAGTGACAAAAGCTTTTACAGACAGATTGACAAATGTGTACATTTACCTCCACTGTTGCGAGCCATTGTCAGGGCTTCCAGAGAGGTTGCTGGAGTTATTTCTAGCTGGCAGATCATCACTTTGGCTCTGCTAATGACACTGGCTGCCTCCCTCAGGTCTTCAGTATTCAAAAGTAAATTCGCTCCAGCCACAATGATGATGATGTTCTGACCTGTAAAGAAATTCTAAATCTTTATATTAAAACCAGCAAAGCCGAGCAATGATATTCTGCAGTGTTACAATCATCCTTATAAAGCCATCACCTTAATTAATTTTTTACATTTCCAGGACATTCAGGTTAAATTTTGTGTTCCAAATACATCTTTTGTAGTATCTCTGAGATTTGTGTTATTCAGATTACTTTGTTTCTTCTCCCAGGGGACAGTCTCTTTATGATGCCCAGGCTGGCCTTAAACTACTAGGCTCATGTGAGCCTCCTGCCGCAGCCTCCCAAGCTGAGGAACTACAGGCATGTGACACCATTCTGACTACTTCAAGCAAAATCTTAAAGAAGTTTGTATTATCAATATTCTCACATTCAAAGAATATTAGTTGAGAAAAGACAGATAACGTACTTAAAAAATTTTTTTATGGAAAATGGATGATACAACATATATGGTAAAGATTTGGAACTCTAAGCCCCAGATGCCACATAGATAAGCATAAATAGGTACAAAATTGTGTAACATTCAAAAGTAATGCTGTACAGTGTGCAAGTAGGACATATATGGACCCTATGGTCCTACAGAAGTGGTTCTGTTGATCGAAACACATTTTAGGACATCTGACAGATGGAAAATTCTGCCAGATAAAGGAGGGCAGGGAGAGCGAGCCCATCAGCCTCTAGTGTACCAGATTAGGAAGAAGAGATAAGACTAAGCAATCTGATACATTCTCATCACTGGAGCCCCTTCTAATCCGCCTACAGTGCAGCTTCTCTGCTGGCGATCTCTCAGCAGCTGTGCTGTCTGATACAGTAGTCACCACAGCATTTGAAATGTCGTTATCTGAGATGTGCTTTAAGTAGAAAATGCACAGTGGATTTCAAATACAGTACAGCAGCAAGGAAACAAAACAGCTCATTAAATTAAAAATATTTAATTTAAAACTAGATGTTTGATTACATATTGAATAATATTGTGGATATATTAGGCTAAATAAGTATACTGTCAAAATTAAGTTTACCTGTTTCTGATGGCTACGGGGCAATTTAAAATCCTACCTGTGTCTTACATTTCATTTCTATTGGACAGCACCATGAGGAGGAATGAGTTGCCCCAGGCAGTTTTTTTTGTGTGTGTGCTCCAGGCCACTTGTGCTGATCTTGTATAGACATGACCCCGAATTACCTCTCAACATAGAACAAATTCTAGTCTATCACTGTTGGCCCTGAGGGAGAATTAATAAAGTGGGAACGATTCAGCACGAGCCCAACCTCAATCCTGGAAAAATTCATGGAGCCCACTTGCTGAAAGATAGCATCTCCCCTCCTTTCTCTCTGGCAGTGACCTCATTCTCAGTTGGAGTCAAGGGAAGCCTGTGATTTCCAAATCTGCGTTTCTCGGCTGGCCCTGGCTGCAGAGCCACAAGCTCTGTCTGGGCTACAGCTGACAGTCGTGTGCATAGCTCATCCATGCCTCAAATTTCACAGTCAAGATGAAACTCATCACTTTATCTTACCTACTTCCTCATCCTTTCATTGAAAGAGCCCGACTGTCCCATCTCTGTATTTGTGTCAGCTTTTTCTACAATCTGTACTCATCTACATCTTTTTTTTTTTTTTTTTTTTTTTTTTTTT